TACATGTATACATATTTTCTTGCAAGTAAATTTTTTAATTTTTATATGCTGTAAAAAATAAAACATTAATTTTGACTTAAAAACGTACAGTGAACTTGCTAAAACATGCAAAAATGTTAAAATTAACATTTTAATGCGTTTTTGCATGTCTTAACGCCTTTAAGTAAAAATTAATATTTTATTTTTTAGGGTGTATGTGTGTATAATAATAGAAAAAAATCAGAAAACCTAATCTCTATAACTTAATCTTTAATTAAAAGAATATTATTGTATTTAGAGATTTTAAGTTGTTGAATATTCTTAACAATAAGAATTGAATTCTACTTGCGAGAAAATACATGTGTATAATAGTAGAAAACTATAGTAACAATAGTTATACATTCGATTGTCAAATATTTTTGACGGCGACATACCAGAGAAACCCAATTTAATTGAATTAATTAATTTCTTGTTTGGAGAGATATAGGCAAACAAATTCTTGGTTGATGTAATAAAATAACTTACTTGGACCAAACATTTGATTATTGTAACATTTTACTGGTTTCTAATAAACATTGACATTTGATAAGATTGTTTATCAGAAACAAGTAAAATGTTACAATAACCAAATGTTTGGTCCAACTAAATTATTTTATCGCATCAACCAAGAATTATTTGTTTGCCCATATCCAAACGAGAAATTAATTGATTCAACTAAATAAGTTTTTCAATACAGAGCCTTGATATTTATCGCAAATTATTTACACATTATTCACGACATTGATACGAAAGTATGATATAAAATAAATAGAAAAATATCTTCGATCCTGCATCGCATTCGTATTGTTGTCATAAATATCAGATGCCAGCCTATTGCAATAATGCCGTGCGTTTCTCCATCCGTGATAACGCATAACGCAATGCAGGCTATCGAATTACTGGCGGTACTCGCGATAATCTCAAATGGCGCTAGTTCGTTAAAAATAAAGACCTGACCTTTCGCGGAATACTCCACGCATTTATTCTATACATTTCACGCGCGATTGAACTGTTATGCAGCTCATCATTTCTTCGATATTAAATACGCAAAAGTGATCGCAAAAATCGCTCAAAGTGCAACGGTTTGCAAATTGACATATCGGAGAGGTTTTGCTTACGTATTCTTATTTCACGTCATACTTTTTTTGCTGTCAACTGAGAATTGTAATACAAAGGGAACGGAATATATTTCATCAATATCGAATCATTTCTTTTGTTCCTCAAAACAGATATGATTTAAGTCAATTTCTATCAACATAGATTAACTTACTAGAAATTTAAAAATGCCTATTACGGTCGAAGCTGGATCTTCATTGCTTAAATAATTCAATTTTGAATTACTAATATACACTATATATGTACTTGCATATATACTATATTGTAGTCTTTTTCAAACTGCGCACAATTATTTTTCCGGACTAAATAAACGCAATTAAAACTACTCTAGCAATATTATATCGCGAAATAAATTGACCAGCAATTAATAATTTGATGCTACCATCAAGCATCAAATTATTATAAAGATGTTAATATGTTAACACTGTTAACAAATTTATTGCGAAAAATATTACCTCGGCCGGGACTTGGACCCGGATCTCTTGTATTCCGTACGAGCGTCCTAAGTCATTAGACCACCGAGGCCTATAGTATGGTATATATGCAAGTACATATAGTATACAGTAGTGTATATTAGTAATTCAAGATTGAATTATTTAAGCAACGAAGATCCAGCTTCGACCGTAATAGGCATTTTTAAATTTCTAATATTGAATGTGTTTCTCACATATACGGTCTAAAATAAAGATATTGTTTAGATTAACTTAAATCTCAGTTTAACTTACTTCATATCTTTCTGTAGTTTTTAAAATTAAAAAAAGTTGAAAAGTAAGAGAGTTGAATCGAGATTAAAGTTAATCTTCATTATATAGTAGAAACAGGCATTAGTGTGACACCAACCTTTCTTGTATAGTAATTTAAAATGATAATATAATTATCATCTATCTCGTTAATAAACACAATACAATATTACTTTGTCGGAGTATCGATTACGTCATTTTTAACTCTCTAGGATGGAAAATGAAAAATTTCTCTATTAAACAGTAAAACACTTCAACAGTAAAAACTAATGTTCACTTTTCGTTTCCGACCTATGGAAAAAAATTATATGATTATCCTTTTCGCAGCGGTGCTGTTTACTTTATGTACCTGTTGCGCTTAAAATGCAACAGGTGCGTAATTGGACTGCAAGGGAGGGGAAAAGACGAAAGGCAGAAAATCAGCATCGTGATCACGGTATCGGTTATGTAACTTTTCCCCTAAGGCGGAAACGTGAAAAGTGAAATTTTTTATATTATATGTATATCTGTACACATATATATACAAAAAATTTTCACACATATATATACATAAAAATTTTCACGTTTTCGCCCTAGGGAAAGAGTTACATAACCCGACACCTTGATTACAGCACAGCTTAGGAAGACTTTCTTAAAGTGTGCTGTGTGGGTGGATACATTCAATTAACGAGAAAATAAATTCGCTCTTTGATTAGAGATTGAAATTAGAATTTAACTAATCAAAGCAGAGTTCACTATAAACATGAGATTAATTTTTATTCTTTTATATTTATTTTTATACTAATATAGATTAACTTTAATCTTAGTTCAACTTGTCCGTCATTTTTTTCTAATTTTTGAAACTAGAAAAAGATGAAGAATTAGTTGAACCAAGATTAAAATTAAACAATATTGGTAGAAATGGATAATAATCAGTTAAATTCCAATCTAATTTCAATCTCTATAGTTTGAGCCCCTATTCTTGAAAAGTATCGCATACGAAAATTACAGAAATGCTATAATATATGTAACGCATACTATAGTATTTCTCTAGTTTTTCATATGCGACACTTTTCAAGAATAGGGGCCCTGGTTACGATTTCAGGACATAGAACATTATCTGGGTACCTATCATAGAACAAGTCGGAATCGATTCCGATCGGAAATATTCAATTATTCGCTAGATTTCTATTGTGTTTTCTAGGGAAAACGGAATAATTCCGATCGGAATCCATTCCGACATATTTCGTGATAGGTACTCTGGACGTTTTTCTGAGCATTTATGGGCAGATAATGAACCAATGAGATCCGTTGTAATTCTCAAATGAACATACCATGTCGTCGCTACGCCGGCCACGTGACACACACGCGCCGGGCGTCGCGATAGCGAAAGGAGCGGATAAGGCACACGCGGGGGGTACCCGACACCTGTACACAGGGTGTTCTACATACACAGTCTACTGCGTTAGTAGGATTTTTTTCAAACGGAGTATCGGATTCCGATTACAGGCTTGAGTGCAACAACGCGGGAATAAAAAGCAAAACGAGGGGGATATCATTTCTAAAACTCTTTAATCAGAGTCAAGATAGAAAACAGCCACTCTCTCTCTCTCTTAATTGGTTCCCCGTGTTTTAACAATTCTTGGGAGAGAGAAAGAGATAAAAAATGATAGAACAGAAAGAGAAAGAAATACTTAATGTATGTCCTTTCTCGCATGACTTTAGTAGATAAACTACAAGAAAAGAACAATTTTGCTGAAGTATTTAAAAGTTTAACAAGATATATGGATTTGAAAATAATTTTGTTAAACCATCAAAATAATTACGTAGGAATTCTCTCAAGCATGAGACAACAAATTTTAATTCCTAGAATGTAATTAAAAGAATGGAGTTTTAACTCCATTCTAACCACAAGTCTGAATGTCTTACATAATTATTTTGATAATTTAATAAAGTCTTCAAATCTTTCTGTATATAATTAAATTTTTAGATTTCAACAAAGTTTTCCATGCATATTGCATACAAAATGCGACTCGAGCTCAGGAAGTCAGTCATGTAATTTTTTCTCTACAGCGGAAACGTGATGAGTAAAAATTTTTTGTATGTATATACCTTGAGAGAATAATATTTTGTATGATATATGACTTACAAAAACTTTTTTACTTTTTAATTAAAAGTTTTGATCAGAACAAAATTTTTTAATTAAAAAGTAAGGTTTTGTAAATCACATGCCATACAAAACATTTCTTTCAGTATACATATATATACATACATAATATGAAAATTTTTACTTTTTACGTTTCCGTTTAGGGAAAAAGTTACATAATTCTACAAATTTTTATTAGAAAATCTCTAATTTTTTTTGCGATACACATATCGCGAATCAGAAAAGGAAGTCGATCACCAATGATTACATTCGATATGCGTCACAATGAAGATGAGTGTACTCTTATCAGTGAGGAACCGGCGCTGGATGGTGGTTTTTTCGCTGGCCGTATCCATAAACGACATTGTTCAAAGATCGACGAATTCGTACAGAGATGCACGGAGAAACAATTAAAATCCATAGCTCATGTCGAGATTAAACGTCTCGCCGTACCAAGAAAATTACGACTTACTCCGAAGTTGGGTTTTCCGGAACACCCTGTATACGCCTTGTTCATAGCCGTAGGAATTCGCTGATAGCATTTACAGACCAATCGGCTCGATCGACGACATTTCCGAACGAACGACGAATTGGAAAACGATGCATAAAGTCTGTAATCCAGATAAACGAATGAGAGAAGTGCTTCTGCGACTTGATCATCGAAGGAGAAGAAAAGGCACGCGATCTCTCCGTTACGTCACGATGAAAAATTCATCGCCGAGCGTATTCGGAGGCGCGCAAGTGCGCAAAATGGCGCAGTTCGCGAAATCCCTCGCGTTACATGACCGTTCAAATTCGGCCGCGTACATTTTCGCTACACATTTATTTCTGGATTTCCCGGAAACCTTACCTTCGACCTTTTCCGTTCGCCCCGTATTCACACGGACACATGACAACGCCGAGACGCCAGAGACGGACAAAAAATATAAAGATCGGCAGAGATCGAGATGAAAAAAAAAACCGGAGTAAAAAATGAGGAAGAAAAAAAAATCGTCACTCACCCTCATCCAGCAGACGTTCCACGTGAATGAAGACATTTGGGAAGGCAGCTAGCTGCTTCCGGTCCTTCAGCAACTGTGACAGGTAGTCCGCTATACTCTGCGTCGTCGTGTTAGTATTATCACACATCGCAAATTGTACTCGGCTG